CAAAGGTGAACAACTGGAATGGCAGCCCCAGCCCTGCCACGAAGGAGAAGGACCCGACCGTGAGCCCCGAAGAGGCCCATCAAAACTAGAGTATGTGATGTCGCTATCTTCCTTTGCAACCGAAAATGCTGAAGTGATATGTCATGCTAGGTGAGGCCAACCAACCTGGGTGCGAAGTTCAATCATGTGCAGCGGTCGAACTCCGAAAGGCCCTATGCTTGCAACATCAAATTCGGTCGTTCTTTACTATTACTATTAACCCTAAACCCTAACCTATTCCTATTAACCCTAAACCCTAAACCCCAGTATACATTTTAGTCTAAGTCTCTAATTAGAATTACCATACACGAACAACTGAGGTCCCTGACTACTTTGGTGCTCGGTGCCCACAAGGCCAACGAGCAGGCGTACAAGGATCGCCCACCCTCGGTGGTTGCTGGTGGTGACAAGGGCGAGGCGGCCTATGAAGGGTATCATGCATGCACTGCAGGATGTGTTCGTGTCTTCTGCATGTCGCATGTATGTCTTTGCTTCAGCTGATATGATGCAATGATCTATCTGAGGCTGGTGAGTGCATCTCAAGTTGGCAGTGACAGCGATCTACGAAGTCTGGTCACATCGATGCAGTCAGAGATCACTAGGCTCAAGGCCCTGCTGGATGCGAAGCCGCCGGCTGCCACAACCTCGGCCGAGCCCAAGCGGGAGGAGCAGGAAGGTGACGAGGATGATGATGAAGAAGATGATGATGAGGAGGAGGCTGAGGAAGAGGGTGATGATGAATATGAAACCCCGCCGCCAAAGGGCACAAAGCCTGCTGATGATTCGGTAACCAAGGGCCCAAAGTCTAACAAGGGGCCCAACTCCACTACCCACCGTGCTGCGTGGATGAAATTCGGTCGGAGAATGGACAGCCAGGGCTCAGAGTTCCCCGAAATGAGCAAGATGTGGAATGGTTCGAAAGAAGAAACCTGGCTACTATTTGGGGTCCCGTTATGCACGCTCAGCAACATTACCCGGTATGTGCATGTGCATCCTAACCGAGGAACAGCACGCAGTGTTTGCAAAATGGCTGGAGAAGGAGATGAACATG